GGGGGATATAGGCCAGCAGAGGCAGTTTCCAATGCATATCATCCTCACAGCACTTACAATCCCTCCAGCAAAGCCCCCCAAACCGGATGAATAAACGCCCGCATTCGACAGCTTTTACTACAAAGGCAGACGAACCGCGGCCTACCGCGCTCTTCCAGTTCCAAGTTTTGGAAATCCACTACCGTCCAAGCCACCACCGGCTCTCGATGCCTCACGAAAACCAAAGAAGAAGCGAAGAAAGTATAACCAGCTTGGTCTAACCCCCAGAGCTGAAGAACATGAATCCAGTGAGGAAGAGGACGATGCGGATGAGGAGGCAAAGCTCGCTACGCTGATTACGAATGAGCTGAAAGTTACTTATCGAGGGCGGACTGCCACATTACAGTCTGTCTCTGACATTGCGGCCTGGATCGAGGAGCGTAGGAAAAGGTTCCCAACAGCAGCACGAATAGCGGAGCGGAAAAAAGAACTGCAAGAAAAAAAAGCGGCTAGAGAGGCCAAAAAGGCTGAACAAGAACAGTTCAGGAGGCAAAAGGAATCCGATATTCGAAAGGAAAACGAGAAGCGCAAAGCAAAGGCAGCTTCTGGGGATCAGAAGTTGGACCCTGCTGATGCTGCCGAGAAAGCCAAGTTAAAAGCAGAAAAGCTGCGTAGGAAGCTCATGAAGGAAGAAAAAAGGGTGGCCAAAGCTGAGGCAGCAGCAGAGAAAGCAAGACAAGCAGCTAGAGCTCCTCAAGCCAACGGTGATGAATCCAAGCCAGCTTTTAATGGGAACGCAGCCGTTAAGGAGCCCGCTGAAACCACGTCCACTAGTCCCTCTACGGTTGCCATGGAAGGGGGTTGGGAGCGCTAAATGGAGATGAAGCTAGTGTCCGCCGACACCCTAGTCCAAGATGGCATCGAGCGTGACGTTGCTGCAGAGCCTGTTGCCGCCAATGGTGATGAGCAGGGTCAGCACAAGATCAAGGTAGACGAGACTGCAGAGGCGCTGTCGGGGATCGATAACCTGTCTACAGATACGTCTTCGGTGGATACGTCAGATCTCAGCGACGAAACATCGAGTTCTTCCGACAGCTCATCGGATGACAGCGATGGAGACTCTGCCCCCGAAGAGATGACTTCCAAACGGCTGCGACCTGATCGGGTGCCTCCGCCACCGCGCAAACACAAGAACCCATGCCACCAGTTCGTCAAGACAGGGAGATGCCGTCGCGGTGAGAATTGCAGATACTCACATGAGATCCCGGACAAGACGCGTCGGGCTACGAAAGATGCAGGCAGCGAACCAAAGCGACCCAGCTTGTTCCAGATGGTGAGTCTCCCCACGGATGCCTTTTTTTTCATTTCCCCTCTGCCGGCGTGGAGAGCTGTGCTGACCCAGGCATCTCCTAGCTGGTGGATCAACAGAAAGAGGACGAAGCCCGACGGGTGATGCAAGCGATCGCATGGCTTGGAGAGAGAGGGATGCTGGACGAACGGGCTGCGGGTGAAGGGGTTGCGGGGGGCGAGGAGGCGGCAAAAGGATAGCGAGATAACCACATGCACGGCGAGATGAGCTCGACACAAGTCTGTTTCCAAGTAGAACAGCAGCCAGGACCGGGTGCTGTAATCCTTGGTGTGCTGTCACGAGATACCTAGGCAGGCAGGCAATAGTGCAGTGGCCGCATGCCTGCTCGATTCGGCAGGGGGCTCATGGATCGCCCAAATGAGCCCTCGGCCAGCCAATCGGAGCGCGCGTGCAACAGAACAGGTCCCCGCTTTGATTAAACAATTGGCCAATCAAAATCCGCGTTTCTCCTCGACCCCGGCCGGCGTTGGGCGGGTCTAACCTAATGTAGCACCGACCATGCCCGATGCGGCATGGCGCCAGGGCGAGATCCCTGTCTGGCCATTTGCGGGTGGCTCCTGCTAGACTCGAGTTGCCTCCTGTTAGCCTCTCTCTTTTCCTCGCGCCGCCCTTCTTTTCTTCTCTTCTCCTCTTCTTCTCTTCTTCTCCTCGTCGCTTCGTCGCCTTCCGTCCCTTCGCTACCAGACTACTTTGTAATATTCCTATTCTTACTCTCTTTTGATTCTTTTTCTCAGGCATACGCTTCTTCGTATCCTTAGTTACTCTATCCTTTCGGTGCAAGTATAGTCCAATCTGTGCGCTCCCTCAATTGCGACCCTCGGCTCTCCTAATAACCACACTTCCTCTTGCGACTCGATCAATCATCGGACAAGATGCGCTCTGCCATTGTCATTGCTCTTGGTGCCTTCGCGGCTCTTGTCTCTGCCGCCAGAGAGAACCCTTTCAACGTTCCCCGTGGTGGCTATCAATTCACCGCCAACCAGCCTACCACCTTGACTTGGCAGCCTACCACCGATGGCACCGTGACCATCAAGTTGCAAAAGGGTGATGAAATTACACCTGATTCCGGAATTGTCATTGCCCGTAAGTTCCTCCTTCTTTTGCTGCTTTCTCCATGCGCATCATTGAGCTAATACATTTGATAGCGAGCATCCCTAACTCCGGCTCCTTCGCTTTTGTCCCCTCCGCCAGTCTGGGCCCTGGCTCCGACTACACTATCCAGATCATTGATGACACCGACCCAGATAATGCCAACTTCACTCCCCGTTTCGCCATCACCGGCACCACTGGCACTGCCACTGAGCTGACCGGTTCCCCAACGGCCACTGTCACTCGCACTCCATCCTCCAGCGCCAGCACTGAATCTGAGAGCACCACCGAGTCTACCACAATCACCTCTGCTGACCCTACCACCACCACCGAGTCTAGCTCTCCAACAACTACCTCCGATCCGACCACCTCCGAATCGGAGCCCACCGAGACCGAGGCTCCAACCGAGACCCCTGAGCCTATCCCAGACAGCGCTGCTGCATCCTTGAGCCTCCCCGCTGGTCTGCTGTCCGCTCTTCTTGGTCTCATGGCTCTCCTGTAAAAAGGTAACAATGAAAAGTGAATGGGATATATGCTAGGTTTGGTGTTTTCATAATCTTCTCAACGACTGTGCTTGGATGGCGCTACTGGCCTACCAAAATCGGCCACCTTTTGTCTACTTCACTATACATATTTCTACTGTAACTTACTGCAACCGATTTCGTGGAAAATGAAGCTACTTGTATTAATCTTTGCATTTCATTTTGTTTTCGAAAGAACATGCAAGTGGACCTGCTGTGACGTGATCGTGCTTTATTGTATGACACGAACTGCATGCGCACAGACATGAGCCTGCGCTGTGCAGCAACGCTTTGTGTGACACTGAGCGGGCCCAACAATGCAGCAAAGTTCTAAAGAAGTTCTAGAAATGCAACCGTTTTTGGAATTCAGACATGACCTAAACACCCTCATTTACTGCTCTTCTTCGAATCTCTGAACGTCTTGGCCCGCCTTGCACTCCTCGTCTTTGGTCTTCCCCGATTCTTAGTCTTCGCCTTCAGTCCCGTCCCGATCTTGCCCTCAACCGCACGATGCCCCTCAAACACAAACGGCGATGCCGTCGCGTCAGATCCTCGCTTCTCCTTTCTCATCTCCTCCCTTGCCGATGAACGCAGCTGCGCCGCACCAGCACGGCCGAGAAGCTTTGCCGCGCGGCGACCCTTCAGACCTGGATCCGCGCCCCCAATCCGCGTCCGGTTGGTATTCGAGTTCCCCACGTCGTTTCGCTTGTTGGAAATCCGCTTTGCGCGCACGACGCGCAACTTGCGCGGAAGCATGGGCGGGAACTTTTTCCCGTCGAGGAGCAGGGCCGCCTCGACGCCGTTTTGGTCGCGGAACTGCACGTATGCGAACCCCTTGCCGACGCGCGTTGACGGATCGCGGACGACGCGCACGGACTCGACGGGGCCAGCGTGCTGGTTGAAGGTGCGCCAGAGACCCTCCTCGACGTCTGCTGGTGGGGTGTATTTCTTTCGCTTCTTTTCGGCATCACCGTCTGCCAGTGCGGTTTCTTCGTCAACGAATCCGAGATTTCCTACAAACACACAGCGTTTGTTGTCGATTGGTGCAGGATGGGCGATGCTGTCGACTCGCAGGTGACGCTCCAGGACAATTGTTCCGTTGAGGCTGATGGCCTTGCGTGCTGCTGCGGCAGTCGTGTAGACGACATAGGCGTTGGTGCTCTGGGTCGTAGAATCCATTAGTTCTTTTTTCGCAAATGCAGCTCGCTTCGGGACCGCGGCTGTTGCAAACGCGGTGGACCGGAAACGGATAGACTCGATTTTGTGTGGTGTCGATGACTCCGGTAGCGATGGGAAGAACGCAGAAAGGTGGGCGAGCAGCGTCTTTTTAGCAGCTTTGGATTTTATTGCTTCGGTAGACACGTTTCCTAGAAATACCGTCCGGGCGGACTTCTGGAGACCCTCTGGATCTAAACTGCCGGACAGAGATTCATGGACCGGTGGCGGATTGCTGTCTGGCCCATCAATTCCATCTCCTTCATCAGTCTCTTCACCTGAAGCGGAGTCCTCATCCTCAGGGTCATTTGTAGCATCAGAAGTCGCCTTTTGCCGTTTCGTTTCCTTCCCTGCAGCGCGTTTCTTGGAATCCTTTTCCTCTTCTTTGACTAGTTTTCTCATGTACGAATCTTCCAAAGCTTCCTCCCGCTCACCCCGCTTTCGCTTCCGGGATTTAGCTGATACCTCCGGGCTTGCATCAAGCTCCTGGTCGTTCTCTGCGCCTTTGTCGGTGTCGTTTTCTCCCTCACTAGATACATCCGGCATTTCGTCATCGTTATCAACCGAGTCCCCATCCTCGCTGCCAGGCTCCGGTTCCTCAGAGCCGGTTAGATTGGAGTTATTTCTATCACCGCGTTCTGCCTTCTTTGCCGGTTTGCTTGCATTATCCTTGTCTCCGCTGCTTCGTAACGACTGTTTCAATTCTGGAGATTTAATGGGGCCAGCCTAGGGGGTCACGTAGCGGTCAGCATTTGATACACGAGCCATTAAGGAGAGCGGCTACAACACAGGAGCTACGCTCCCTGTAAATGCAATATGTACTCACGCTATTTGCGAATAGCGACGCAAGCATCGGGTCAATCACTGCATCTTTATTTCCAAACAAGCTTGGAGGCACGGCGTCTGTTCCGGAGGCCTCATTGTCCGTTGCGACTTTGGCCTTGGCCTTGGATTTTATTTTCTTGCCCATTGCTTAATCTGGAGTCAACACAGAACTCGGAATGCTTTCTCTTCTCGCTCTTATCTTCGCTCAGGCATTGTAAACACGACCTCACCCAGCCCAAAATTTCCGCGCCGAAACCTTGGCGGCTGGCATCGAATTACATAACTAGGAATCGTAGTGATTTAATACGGGTCACATGATGTCCCGCCTCCATTTGCTGGGTAGGGCAGCCAGCATACCGATGTGCAACTTCACTGCAAGCTCACGGGTAGTCAAGATTTTCCCTGAAGCACTTTCGAAGACAATTTCTCTCATCGGCCGTGTGTGCTATAGTAGAATGGGATGTGCAGAGTAACTGCCTAGCCCTCCCATGCCGATTAGTCAGACTTTCTCCAGGGCGGTCAGGCATCTCCAGCCGCTCATTGGCCGTCGCCCGGCGGAGCTTGTGATGGAGCTAGGGCCGGCAGTACTTTTCTTAGTGGAAAGTTTTGTAATTTAAAGTTACCGCCGGCCGTTCAAAAGCGGCGTAATTTCGTATGAGCCCACACAGCAGAGCGTAACTTTGATACTTTTACAGCGTAAGACTCTGGTTTGTGACGCAGCTTGTCGATCAATTTGCTGCAATTTTGAGCTGGGAGGCCGTCATGTTACCGTCACACTGTGCCAAGCGAGGTCGTCGTTGAAACAAATCATCCGTCGACGGTACAGAGCAGCAGTCGGTATCACCTGGTTCCCCAGAATGCATTCTCTCTTCTCACAATCTCTCCCTCCTCATTGCAAGCCTTCATCTTCCCGACTCTGCTTTTTTTTACGCTTCTCTGCATGCGAGGCTCTTCTATTCACCGCTGGCAGTTTGCTCGATAAGCCACCCTCTTGCTTTTCACCTTTTCCCTCTGCCCGTTTGCCCTCAGTTCTCTGGACCCGGCTCCAACCTATCCCCCCGCGACGCTCTTGCGAACCAGACTCCCTTCAACGCTCTCGTGCAAGCAAGTGTATTTGAACCATTTTGGCCGCTGTGTTTGGATCTCTACATCACCATTTCAATCGATTTCGGGCGCCTTGGCTCTGTAGCCGCTCGTTGTGATCGTCTGCCGCAAATCTCAACTTCGCTCAACATCGCGCGCTGTGGAAGCGCAACGTCATTCGAGGTAGGTTTATTCAAAACTCTTTTGTGACTCACTTCTAGATTCGTTCCCAGCTCCCTTTCTATTGTTGCAAGCTCAAAGTCCGCTGATTCTCTGTTGCTGCCCTTGGATTTCAAGCACAAGGCGTTTGGCGGTTTCTTACCTGCCAACGGAGGTATAAACCTTTCACAAAGCTCCGCTAGTCAAGTTTCATCATTCCCTGTTCGTTAATGCTGAAGCTCTATTCCCCTTCCTCAGCCGACCGTTGTTACATTGAGCTTTACTGACCGTTCGCTTCATCGACTAGACGACACGCCAGAACCATCCTACCAAACGAATCGAATACCCATTTTCACACCATCATTTTTCTACCGTACCCTTGTCACCGCTTTCAAATTTCCTGAGAGTAGCTTAATCCGGTGCTTCTCGAACCCGATGGAGCTACCGGACTTAGCACTTGAGCCTAGGGTGGCACCCGGCCCAACCGCCCCCATAATCCCCGACGGGCTTTTTTCCGATGATATACACGATGATGCAAGATCTAGCAGCCTTAGCGAAATTGATGAGCATATAGATCACCTCGAAGACATGTCCCCGAAACAGGAAAGGTTTGGTAGTGAGATTGATTCCGAGGCCGAAACAGAGCGCATTGAGGATTCCCCAAGTCGCCTTCGCAACCGCTCAAGCATCGTATTGAGTGCCACGGCATACGGTGCCAGTCCAAGCAAGCTTGCACAGTCGACTACGTACGACGATCTTGACGAAGATGACGCTGTCGAGACTGAGGCTTCTCCTAGTAAACCTCCACGAGATACAAGAGTCAACGGAATTACCAATAACTCTAAGAGGACTGCAGCAGACCCGGCCGGCTTGTCGACCGCGTCACGCGAATTAATTGGTAAGAAAAGAAAGCGCGGAGACTCTGCCGTTAATGGAACAGAGGAAATAGACAACGAAGAGCCGTTACGGAAGCGCCGAGGTTCACCATCAGGCGACGCAGCTGGATTGGAAACAGAACAGGAGGCTGCGGCTGATGAGGCGGAAATGGAGTCGAAGGAGAAGGAGCCTTTGTCAACTGATGAGGTTTCGCCGTTGAATGAAGAACAACCTGATGATACTCGTCCCTCTGCCCTACGGGGAAAGAAGGGTAAAAAAGGAAAACGCAAAGGGAAAAAGTCCAGAGATATTTATGAAGAGACAGGAGAGAATGGACTAGGAGATGATAGCCAGGCAAATGGCGACGAGCAGTTGCCGGAAGATGAAGATAACGGAGAGGTTATCGATGGAACTGATGACCCCGAAGCGGCACTGAAGATGGAAGAATGTAAGTTATCGCATTGCCAAACATTTCTCCACCTAGCTAACCCCGACCAGCGATGAAAAAGACTACCGCCATGGACGTACTTCTAAGTCTAGAGCGACAGTTCGCCTCTTTGCGCGATAAGTAAGCTTGGTCCTCCTTAAGATTGTGGTATGGGAACTCAAACACTCATAATTCATAGGATTTACGACGACCGGATCGCAAGTATAAATGAGGAACTGGCCCAGCTTGAAAAGCCAAATCCGACCCATCCCGAATTTCTTCGCCAGCTTCGGATAATTGAGCATCACCGGGATGAAAAAATGGCAATCGACGAGAAGCTATTTGCATATAAGCTTAGGTCGCTGTGCATTAAGAGTCAAGCCGAGCGCAGTCAAGTGAACAGCTCATATTACCAGAATGTCCGCGATATCCGAGAACGGTACCTTCAAGAGATTTCCGAACACCATTATCGAGTGCAACAAGACCGTTTCCAGACAAGCGAAACAAGCGTCGGATACGGTATTCCATTTCCTACTCGGCGAGCGCAGCAAGCAGCACAGCAGGCAGCATATAGTGCGGAAGTTGGTATTTTGGCAGGGACAGCGAAATATGTTGGATTCCCATCCGCCCCTGATATGAAGGGCCTACAACGTAACGAAATTGAAGAAGATTTTGGGAAATTGGGGGTATGTGGCACACGTCAACATCTGTCTTGCTGAAAGATGCTAATTTGGGGCTCCTAGATTTCCCTACGGCCCACAAACGTGAACTCATTGCCACATCCTCCTTTCTCACAGCAACATGATTACCCGAGCATTCCATCCGCTGCAGTTACACGGCAAGCTGCGGAAGAAGAATTTATAGAGCAAACACCATGGGCAAATCCGCAGCACCCAATTCACGAGCAATTTCGGCATCAAATGCAGCAGGGCATAATATCTGACCATCAAAGATTTTCAAACCCATTTTCTACGCCTGCTGCCCAACAACGGACGGTGGATCTGCATGCACCAAATGGCTCTGCATCGACGATTCCAGAACATCCGTCCGCCCCTAATTCTTCTGCTGCGAATACCCCCTATGATTATGAACGTACCCGTCGAAATTTGGGCACGGCCATGGCAGTTGCTGATCCAGCCGATAGTCGCGGTGCAGAAGGTGACGATTTGGAAAAACCTTCAACCTTCCGATCTCTATCCTCGTCGCCTCTAGATGTACGGAGGCCTCAGCAGAAGCCCCCACCGAAACAGGAACCGACGCGGCGCTCCCCTGTCCCGACATCTATAGAACCAATGGGCCCACCAAGCTCTATCCGGGACCTCCCGTATTCTCCGTCCTCGTCTTCAACTCTACGCGCTGGCCGATTTGGAACGACGCCACGAGAAGATCAGCTCTCTTCCTCGAGTTCCTCAGCCAGACAGAAACCTCAGAATTTCAGCCCTATCCACCAATCTGCTGGTATCACGGCTGGCGGTTCTGAAAAAGTTCGAATGAACGGATAGTCCCCAAGCTGGAAAAAAACGGCGTTCAATCTACTTGTCTTCCCCATGGATTATTTTCGACATGAATGGCGCGGTTTATATATTGTGGTTTGGGACTGTATCGGCTGAATAGGCGTTGTGGATAACAGACTATTCGCACTGCCACGCTCAAAGACGTCTACCTTTTATTTCTTGTTTAGAAATTCCAAGGGTTTCTCTATGCACCATAAATATTTGCAAGGTTTATTCCCGCCATGCTCGGCAGCTTAATTACCGTGCCTATTGATTGCTTCAAGTTTCTATTCTTATCCCGCATTTTTGGCTTGGTGTTGATATTTTGAGCTCCCCTCAATTTTATGTGTTGATTGCGCCGCTGGCAAGGGGTCCATTTGGAGGAAACTAATATTGTTTTTGGAGTCTTATTCCTCCCCATCGGCACTGTGGATGGAGGGTTGTCACTGGGGACGAGGCAAGTGTACTGTACTGGAGATTTGTTGTGATATGAAATGATTCTGCTATTTCCAATGATGTCGGTGTCGCATCGAGGTGTTATCAGTGCCTGAACCACAAGTTGAGCAGCACACATCTAGGACCGATTCCGATGAGTGGTGTTATATATACACAAAAAATTGTAGAACTAAAATTATAAATACAGGCAGGGAGCTGGAGTAGTGGCTGGGTGGTTGAAGAGGCTAGTTGCACTAGTCCTCCATTTTCTCGCAATTGTATTGCTAAAATCGGTGATTTCAAGCGCCAAGTTTCAATCCTCTTCCATGTAAATTTCCAGGCCGAACGCCCTCACAAAAAAGATACAACTCCGGGACCGCCAAAATGCTATATCGTCGCAGCCAAAAACGAGTAGTGAAACGGTAGGGTCACGAGCGTCGGAGAGAACTAGGATTTTTGCGACGATTGCGTGGAACCGTTGGGAGGACTAGGGACCTTCACATCGGCGAAATCATCTTGTCCGACTGCGTTTATTGTGAAGGCATCTAAAATAGCGGACAACCCGAGCAGTCAGCGGATTGGAGTAGACAGTGCCAGACAGTCGACCTATGGTCGGTTGAGGCAAAACAGATGCTGGGACAAACACGCACAAACACCGATGCAGAAGCCAAATAGAGCAACGCCCGTCAATCCATTCTTGACAAGGTATGGCCGACGGGCACGGAGTAGGGCAGCCCCCGCACGGTAATCTTTGTCGTAGTAGCTTGATTTGAAGCTGCAGAGGCACGGTTAGTTGGGATAGCGCGAAGAGGATAGCAGCCTATACATACAGAGCCATTGTCCAGCCGTCTCTAACAACCCAAGTGTGAGGTTGTGCAATCTGTTGCCGCAATAATTGGCGGCGACGTGACGATAAGAAGATCGTGCTCGGGTTAATATTCGCCCGGATTCCGATACGGTTTGCACTAAATGGCTTGGCATCATGTGACGGCTAGGCGGCACTAGGCCTATTTCGGACCGGAGCTGGTGAGGCCGAGCAATGGACCAATCAGCACTCGGGGCGCCAACCTTCAACGCTTCTTGCATCTCGCAACTGCTGCAGACACGAACAATCGCCAAAGGACCTCCAGGCTGCTGCCAGGGAACTCTTATCCGCATCGTAAGCTCGAAACTGCTTTGATCTTCTCTTTGCTGAATTACTCTCTACTGAAGCTTTCTGCTGCCTTTGCGATCGACCTCCCACGAATTCCAGCCTGCTGCAAGCTCCATGGCGCCTCACTTCTAAATCGTGCATCCCGATACTCCCTCGAGGATTTCATCCCTCCATTCGACAAAAAGTTATTGTAAACCGTGAAAAGCATAGCTTGAATTTCATCTGGAGCATCACAGTCCTCGTTCATCCACCGATACTCTCCTCTTAGCGGAGCTCCATCCCGGCACCATGGCGATTCCAGTAAGCAATCTGGTGGAACAAATGTCCCAGCTCGATGCGGCGCGAAACCTCGTTCTCGGCGATGCTGCGCTTTACCCTCAGATCGTTCACGGCATAATTCCTATAATTGGCTCCAATTCGCGTCTGGAGCTGCGAAGATGGGGCGCCGATTTCCTCGCAGAGACATTTGCAAGTCCCACGTTCCCCCAGCCTGCAAAGCAAAAGCTGGCTACCGAAATCCTCCAGACGATACATGAACTACTTAATACGCCGGAACAAGATATTGCTGTGGTGAAAAATGCTATTCAGGCCTCTGCCAGTATCTACCCGCTAGTGTTTAGGCATATGTATGTCCGGATCCTCTCTCCCCCCCTTTTCCCTTCCCTCCCGTTGCCTTGGGTAGGTCTTTGGTTGTGCGCTCTGCTCGATACCGCAGAAAGCAAAGGCGCTTGCCAAATAGGCTATGGCCATTACTTAAAGTAGAATTAAGTTCTGATCGATCGTATCGCGTCTATAGCATTGACCACCCTGAAGATTCTGCAGTTTGGGAGAATATGACCGCCATCAAGCTCACTATCTTAAAGAAATGGGATAGTGCTCCTCCTGGTATCAAAATATGCTGTGTCAAATTCGCGCAAAGGGTTGTCCAAGCTCAAACCCAGGGTGTTATCTCAGATCCAAGAGTGAGTACTACAGCACAAATTCGCCCTGACCTGTAGACCGAAGGAGTACTAAGAGGCACGTTGATAGCGCCCTGAGAAAAACGAGATTTCGTTGGCCCTCGTTCCAAAGAGCCACCCTCTTATCCCTATTCCCAACCTGGAGGCAGAAGCGTCGGGCCTTCTCGATAGACTGCTGAACGCCTTCCACGAGAACTCGAGGTATAAATTTCCAGCTTGAATTGGTATACACACGGCACTGACGGACTTTAGTGACCCGCTTCTTGTAAATGCGACTCTAAATTCTCTTTCAATTCTGATTCGGACCCGACCTTCAATCTCAAATAAAATCGTCAATGCTATCCTAAGCTTTAACCCGCTCAAACATGCAACTACACCGATAACTCCAACTGTCAAAGTAAATATAAAATCAATGGAACGGACAACTCGAGCGTTGTTGATCAATTTGATGAAGAGGTATGCACCATACCTGCTCGGGAACATGCTCTTTTCACTAAAAGGCCGGCCGTAGGAACCCTAATAACCCTCTAGCTGGGCGTATTCAACAATATTTCGATCGGATAGCACAGTCACGGAACGAGATATTTGAAGAAGCCACACGGAAGAGAACGCTCCCGACTGAACCTACAGACCTTGTGGATAGTGCCAAACGAGCAAAGCTGGGCGTTAATACTCCGCCGCAGTTAAAAATTCCGCCGTTGCCTCCAGGCCCAACTAGTTTTGCACAACTCTTTACATTAACAGAAGATGTTGGTTTGGCGTCCTTTGATGTTAAACAGTTACCGATAGATCTGCTTGTCAAAATCACCGTTCCCGTCTTAAATCGTATTGGCGCAGAATCTTTGGATCAAGCGATCGGTGTAAGTAGACACGCTCTTTCAAGGTGCTTTTTTCCTTGCGCGTTTCTCTGTGCTAATATACTTGGTAGGCTGTGCGTACCCGATATCTTACTCTTTGTAAAAAGCAAGTTTTCGAACAGCGAGCCCAAGCCCAGGCACAGCTCCGGCCGCAACAGAATGAAGAAGAAGATGATGATGAGTACGAGCCAGAATACGAGCCTATGGATATTCCCGCAGCAGAGCAACCGCTAGCAAGCTCAGATTCAATTCAGGTTGCAGAAGTCCCCCCTGACCTCATGACCCTGGGACCGTTCGTGCTTCCACAACCTCCCCCACTCTCAAAAACAGAAGCTGTTGAGGTGGGTAAAGAAGCGGTTGAAAGAGTGTTCACCATGGCCTCTGCTCTCGATCAACCTTCAAAGTCAAAAGGTTCGGGAAAGGCTCTTGGGTTTGGACGGCTTGCAGCGAGTTCGTTTGATCGAGACTCATGGCTTACTCTACTCACTCGTTTGGGGACTCGCGCGTCAGCCGGTTTGGAAAGTGACGTTGATGAAGAAGCGACCCAAATCAGAAACGGACAGATGCATAGCGCTGCCCCATCACAGCCGCCAACATTAGGAGGTGGAATCAGGCAGTTGTTATATCGATACATTCTAGAGGACTTCCGGGTGCGAATAAATGTCGCTATATCCTGGATGAATGAAGAATGGTATAACTACAATGTACAGGTGAGATACGCTGCGCAGCAACATCGTGATGGTATCGACGCTATTTCAATACCGAATCACTACAGTCATTGGGTAATGAGGCTTCTGGAAAGCATACTGCCATACCTTGATTCCCGAGATAAAATCCTCATAAGGTTCTTAAGCGAGTTACCAGAGCTGGATCGCACTTTGATCAGAAAAGTTCAGACATTAGCCAACGATCCGGAGAGGGTCAACTTGTGTGTTCAAGCTTTGCAGTAAGCGGATTTCTAACCTTGAATCTCAATCATCCGCCCGAATGCTAACATACGCTAGTTACCTAGTCCTTGTACGCCCGCCAGTGAAAGAAATGTGTCTGGATGCCCTAGAGGATTTGTACAATACTGGTAGGCCACAGCCCATATTTAGTTTACCAATGCAGATCTCTAACACATACTTTAAATAGTGGAAGAAACCCGGCCTTTAATAACAAAGATCCTTCTCAAGTTTCGACCTGGGGCTCTACCCGACCAAGCAAAACAGTTCACGCAAAATATGAAACCGCAAGAACAGTCAAGATCCACACCTACTCTTAGCCTTGGGTCGACGCAAAACACGACGAGCCCTGTCGCTGCATATCCCGTGCCCGAAAATGTCGATGGCAATTCCACCGCCACAAATTCTCAACAAAATGGTCAGGTTTTGAAATCAGAGAGGACAGGTACAGCTGAGCAGAGTGTCACAGCTGCTGTATGACACTCTCTTTCTTTGCATTTCTACCTGATCTTAACATTACTGTTCTATTTCGGGCATATACCCTCCTATTTTAACCCGAGATTCCAAGAATCCAACATCTCCATGCAATGCCCATGCAAACGCTTGAGCTACTTTCAGAATCACTTGAATTTCCAGAAACTTGCTGATAGTTAAATTGTCTACTTCTTTTTTATTTGATCCATTTTTAGGGTCGCAATTATTTTGTTATGATGAACGGGGTCGGGCTCCGGGGAATTCATGTACTTTAGTTTGCATTGACTTACGTGGTACGGACTAAATGCTCAGAATACCAAGAAGCACGAATTGGTAGCTTGGAGAATCACTTTTAACAGCAAAAGGAAACGCCCTAAACCATGATAATCTACACGTTTAATCTATCTTAATTCCATGGAACTTGACCTTGATAAAAGAAAACCTAGACCACACAACCCGCGAAACACGTTTATTCAAATACAAATGTAGAAGAGAGATAAGAAGATATTTTACTCAGTCCTTAATATCTTTGGGCCTCGTCTTTTAGCCCTAGTCCCCTTTTTCTTTTTATGGCCCTTTTCAAACGCCACGGCACTGTTATGGTCGCGGCCTACATTGTCTAGATCTTTAACTTTGTAAATTCGAATAATCCAGTTCTCGCTGGTAAATGCCTCCTCAAGGGTTGTTAACTGAGGGCCTTCGGCCGGAAGGCGGACTCCGCGAACACGATCATGCGCTTGGCCCTTGGGGAACAGCGAATTGAGGTTGTGGTAGCAGAGTTTATACCTAGTATCTAGGATTAGTTCCAGTACTCAAGGAGGGAAACATGGAAGATGTATGCATACATGAGACTGTTGCGCATTGTGGGAGTCGCTTGGTCGTCAACACGGTATTCGCCACGAGCGGTGAAGAAATCTCGCTCTTTCACCTCATCAGGCCAGATACCTTCAGCAATTCGAACCATCCAGAGGAACTTGTTGATATCGTCACCGGAGTAACCGATCAAACCGCCATATACGACTAACACGTAGTCGACGTCATGCTGGCGAAGGATTGGGTAGCTGACTTCTTCACGGGAGCTCATTGCTTTCCCAACAGTGGCAATATGTGTATTATTCCAAGTATTGTTATCGACCAGCGTGGGACGATCCGCCATTCCGCCGATTTGATACCCATAATCCCACCACGACATGATTTTCGCGTTCTTTTCCGTATTTTGGCGAAGCCAATAATAAGCTTCGCGATAATCGTCAATAATGTATTGGCTCCCGTCGGGGAGTTTGCTTGCGAGCACGACCGACGGAGACGAATAGGCCATCGATGTGACCCATGTACAATGAGCGACAAACAGCAACAGATAAACTACGAGTGAGGCGGAAACCAAGCCTTTCGAAAGGCCTGAATAGATGCCAACAAGTCGTGTCCGCGCAGCTCGTAAGCTGCTTTGAGTAGGTTTTTCGTTGGTCGCTTTAGGTTGCGCATTTGGGTCAGGGGAATCTAATCGAAGATAAGTGTCAAGTATATGCGACACAATCAGAGCGGCAGCAACGCAAACCACTGGTGTTAAAGTCAACATTAACCGAACCATAACACCGGCAAAATAGCTTGCAAGAACGGCATAGATGATTATGAAAACGTGCTCGTCCTTAAGCTGATAGAAGCACATATAAACGCCGGCAGGAAAGAGCCATATCAGCATGTTAAGGTCGAAGAAGAATGCAGGCCAAGCTGTCGGTTGATGCTCCGAGACGGAAGCGATGATGGGAATGTGAATTTTGGCATATCCGGTATCCCAAAGCGAGTAAAATCGACCACTCCAGGGTGCAATGACGCCTGTTATCGTGAGAAGTACTAACCCGGAGAATGCGATGCCGAATGTGACGAGAACCAAAGTAGTGAGGAGGGCTTGAAACTGTTTTCCGGGAACTTGAGATCGAAGGAATTCCACAAAGGCCACGATTTGAAGGAGACCAAATATACCTAAACACCAATTCTCAGTTCTCAGCTGCATGGGAAAGGTGCCTGTCATACTTACCCAGAGCCGCCATATGGTCGCTGTTACGGATTGGCAAAAAGCCAACAAAAGGGATTTGCATGCTAGCTAGTGTTCCAAGTGCATACCAAGTGGTATAGCCGATATAGAGACGTGAGCTATATCGACCCATGCAGATAAGCACGAAGGCATGCAAGGGGATCAAGTTCGTAATGAAGACGTATCCACCCCATGCCGAAACCATGTAGCCATAGAATAAGGCAGCCAATGCACCCCACATGATTGATCCATTCTTCAAAGCCTTGATCCAAAGGTAAAAGGTAAAGACCAAGAGGAAAATGGCAATGGCTTCGTTATCATAACTCCCAGCAACGGACCTGGAAATGTATCCAGGGGTGATGCCAATGAACACTGCGGCAAGGAGGCCGGCAGATGGCGAAACCGACATCTCCGATGTAAGCAGGTACATTGCCAGTGCCGTCAAACCCGAAAACCCCGGCGCGAGGAGGACGCATATATTACGAATATCGACGGGGAGAGAGAGGAATCGAAGGAGATGATAAATTGCGCCGCTCGTAACCATCAACCCAGGGTACAATGTGCCGCCGGTGACACGCCCAAGAGGATGCCATGTTCCTAGATGCAAAAAATGAAACGTCAGTCACCAATTCGGGAAACTCACTCGAAAGGAGGCTCACGGTCGTCAAACCAATCCCAAAAGCTATAGAAACCATGCTTCACAAGATATTTTGTTGCTCGAAAATTAAACCACGGATCGACTACAGTTTGTGTGTTTGGTTTAGCGACGATAGAAAACGGAACGCAGGGGGTTCACAGTAGGGGCGTTTCCAAGGGAGCTCATACATTCGTGGATGATACTTTCAAACCCTACGCGGAATTGTTAGCAAGGCGGACAGGACCCAGGTTAACCAATTGGACAGGCAAAAGGAGCATAGAGAAGCATTCTTACTTATTACGCTGAATAGTCTGCTGGAAATAGCTGCTGCCGCAATGAAAGCCAGTATGATCACCCGTAAAAGGCCGCGAGTGCTTGAGCTCGTGAGGCCCTTCAAAAAAGGGTCGACAGCAGTGGCGGCCATGGCGGCCGGAATGGACGGAGGAGACAGGACAGATCGAAGAAACCGACGAGAACTAGCCCCCGGACAACTGCGAATATCCCATTGAGAGCTCGCTGCCGTTCGCCTTGCGTCGAATGAAGCATCGTGGTCTCAAGCCGCGAGCTGGCCTTGGCGCAGTCATCACACTGCTTATGTCAGCCATTGTTATCTAGACATCCCTTTCCCGCTCCCTTCACAGAGCCCACCACTTTGTGAATCTCTCGTTTTAATCAGTCAAGCTGTACAGGACCAGAGTTGCTCTTTGCTGCTGCTTCTCGCCGAGATGCTGGACGCACCGCGGACTCTGGAGGAACTTCAGGCAGTCCTCACTAGCGCCCCATCCGCGACAGCCCTTCTTGATGCTCTGATGGATGCGGAAGGAGAAATATGTCTACAGTCTGATGACACAGCATTGTTGCAATCCTACTATTCGGCCTACCTATTTGCGCTACTCTTGCGTGATGAACTGTAGGTGATCGCGAGTTATAAAACGGTGTCGAGCAGCGCTAACCAGGTGCGCAATAGTACTGAAGCGCGGATGTTAAACCGGAGAATACCTCGGAGCTTAACCAGCGCGGATACTGCATTGGAGAGTACTTCGAACTTGCTACGGGCCGTTTGGATTAGAAATCATACTCTGGTTTACCAAATCTTAAGGGAGTCACATTGGCCGGATATGCTGAAACCTCTGGCCCAGGGCTACTTCAGTACGGCTGAACCTGTTTGCTATTCCATGGATTTTTGAAACTAATCTTTTATGCAGCACACTTCCGTGACAGAACGCTGGAAGACCTCAGTCTCGCCTATGGAGCTCTTCGACCCGAGACTGCTGCTTCATATCTAGGCTTCGATATTGCACCACCGAGTACAGATGCAATGGAAGATGTGTCGAGCCCGACCACCTCAGAGATTATTGAAATACTAGTACAAAGAGGGTGGGAGTACGATTCAGCCACCAACCTACTAAAACCGATCATCAGCACATCAGTTGCGGGGGACCCCGAGTTAGACCAAGTCAAGATTGGACAACTGGCGGCGCTCCTGGGAACTCATGGTGGCTGAGCGATGTTTTTGAGTTGATACGCCTCGCACGGGAGCTAAAACTTTTTGAACCACGAACGATATACGCCTCTAACTATAGAGCAGTAGCTTGACACGCCGTTGAGTTCATTGCGGGACATGCAAATCGCCCTATGCGAATAGACCTCCGAATATGGACAGGCATTGCTGACAGCCAAATGACGACAGTATGAATGACCCTTATACTGATGGTTGATTGGATGTTCGCGTAATGAAGTGTGTAATATCCCCAGGAAATGCCAATGGTATGTACAGCAGAGGAAGATGAAATCTATTGGTCTCGTACCCCTCTCGCGTCGGTTCCAAGGAAGCGATCTTTAGCTTAAATGATACAAATAATACAAAATGGATATGCTTTCCATCCGCAAGTTGAGTTCAGGTCAATCACGAACCGCTCAAATGCTCATTCCGGAACGTACCCCCGCAGGTTAGAGGGCCAATCTTTTCTTGAGGATCAATAATCTGCGCGCAATCCCGCTTTATTTTTCACCTGCTTTCATTTTTATGAATGCTTCTAGATCAAATCTTGCATCATCGGGGTCCGTGATCACTAAGCGATTGCATCCCAGTCAGTAACTAGTTCAAGTGGCAACACCCGGATCGCAGGTGTGGCTTCGACGCGGATCCAACACGACGTACCACCGGACTCTGGTTCCTTTGGAGCAGGTGAATTTCTTCTTGCAAATTCGGCTTTGGCTTGCTCTATCAATTGTTCTTTTCGACGGTATTCATTGTCTATCTGGGCGGCTTTGGCTTGTGCGGTCAATGAAGCTTGGTGATAGAAGCCGTAGAAAACGCCGAAAAAGAGGGCGGAATAGCGCAATACCTGAATCACTCTTGGTCAGCATGAGGCATCACCCCACAAAGGCCAATGCCTCCGGGTAGATTAGCTGTGGCAGAGAGAAGAACCCACGTTAACCCCTTGAGAAGTTGCCATGGCTGGAGCGAGGTCACCCCAAGGATGTTGGGGTCAATCGGGGAAGAGGAAGAAGAACCGGGCGACACGGGCAAGCAAAGACGATGGAGTTGATCCAAGGTATCCGGCAACGCAACCCAGACAGGCAATGGGGTCTGGACGCTCGGGGATGAGATCGGTTGGCCGCTGGAAGCAATCGAATCTGTGTCTTCACGTCGGCAAGTCGAAGATTCAAACTTCGGGATTTTTGCTTGGCACACCTGGCCGTAGATTACGTAACCAGTAACTAGAGGTGGTGCTTACATAACTCCAGCGTGCAACTCCCCCTTCCCGCTTCAGTTCATAGCAGACGCGGCGGGCGGAAGAGAAACAGCGTGCTTTTGGCTGCCTGCGGGGATCACGCTCGGTTCTGTCAGGATGAGTACCATGCAACAGCGGAAAGATGAGATTCTGGCAAAGAAGGCAAGGCTCGCCGAGCTCAAACGCCAGCGCGAATTGCGGCAGCGGGAATTCTCCCAGACGCGCATGGGCATAGGGGAATCGTCAGAGGTATGCAGAGCAATTGCCCCTCCGCTCGGCTATTATGTACCCTTGCTAATCTATCTGTGGCTGCAGATTCTATCTCCTACGCCGGGCCGTTCAGAAAACAGAGCTGAGCTCGATAGTTTGATTTCCCGTCTGGTTGATCGACCGTCTTCTGCCGCACTCAGGGAGGGCGGGGAAGCATCGCCGAGAGGTCGTGGAAGCAGGCCAAATTCGGTGCTTAGCGGAGGACAACTCAGCAGTGATACTATCGAAACATATACCCCGCCTATAAAGCCGCTTTCTCAATCCATAGCTACACAGACAACACTTGACCTCCCCGTCACCTCGCCCCGAGCCCATCCCCCTGCGCCGAAACCGGAAATTCTAACGTACAGCAAAGCAGTGCAAACTGACACCTGGTCGGATCCAAAGACGCGTTCGGAAGATGGGTCCGAAACGGAGGGCGAGGGGTCTCCTAGTACTCCCCGTGCAAGTAAACGGTTAAGCAGGAGAGCGCGCGAACGGGACGAAGAGATCAGAGAGCGGCTACGGAAGGAAATCGAAGAAGAGTTGAATGCAGCGAAAGAGCCGGTTGAAGGCGGTGATCTTCAGCAGGCGGGTCAGTTGAGGTATCCGTTGCGTACCCTCACTCATGATGAGCTCAACGCGGTTACATCTTCTGGAGAATTTTTGGATTTTGTGGAACGATCAAGCAAAGTTATAGAAAGAGCTTTGGATGAAGAATATGACGTCCTTGCGGACTATGCACTGGGTGGAATCGGCGCCGAGGATGAGGAGGAGGATGATTACAGAGTTGGCAAAAAGCGCAGAGAAATAAAGCAAGTTGCCCAGTTTTGGGATGAAAGATGGAGCAAGAAACGCATGATAACCGACTTGAGCTTTTCGCCAAAAGTATATCTCCTTTTTTCCGCAGTGGCTCCAGTGACTTTATGCTAATTTCGCCCTAGTTTCCCGAGCTGATACTTGCTTCTTATACAAAAAATCCAACTGCCCCTCATGATCCTGACGGGCTCGTCAAAGTTTGGAACCAGCATCTTCATAGCCGACCAGAATACATATTCCACTCAACATCCGACATTCTCACCGCAAAATTCAGCCCGTTTCACCCGAATCTTATCATCGGCGGTTCATATTCCGGACAGGTGTTGCTCTGGGACACCCGATCCTCGCGCGCTGGCGGAGGTGCCCCTGTGCAGAAGACTCCTTTATCAGGATCAGGCCACACTCATCCAGTCTATAGCATCGCCATCGTTGGCACGCAAAATGCACACAACATTCTGACAGCATCGACGGACGGAGTGGTTTGCGGCTGGACAGTCGACATGCTCTCCCAACCGCAAGAATACCTTGAACTCACCACCCCCCCGCCTTCTAAAACCGAAGATCTCGCACCTACTACCCTCTCGTTCCCTCAATCCGATCCCACATTTTTCTTAGTCGGCACAGAAGAGGGAACCATATACCCTTGCCATCGTTATGATCGTGCTGGCGCCAAAGCTGGAACCGACCACCGGCTTTGCTATCGCGGTCATGCCGCCCCAGTCATGTCGACGACCTTCCACCCCGCCCGTGGCCCTGTTGACCTAGGAGATTTGATGCTTAGTTCAAGCATAGACTGGAGCGTCAAACTTTGGCGAATTCGCCCTCCTGCGGCAACGTCCACCGCCTCGGGAACAACCTCCTCCACAGCAGCCATGCAAACGGTTTCTCCAATTCTCGACCTGACCCGTGAAGACGTTGTATACGATGCCCGTTGGTCTCCGAATCGCCCCGGTGTGTTTGCCCTTGTAACAGGCGCCGGGTCGCTGGAAGTTTGGGATTTATGCACCGAGACTGAAGTGCCGACTGCGTGGGCAACACCCACATCTGGTAGAGGAGGCATATTGACCAAGAGCTTGAATAAAGTCGCATGGGAAGAGAAGGAGGGTAGACGGGTTGCTACCGGTGGATTGGATGGGGTTGTTACTGTGTTTGATGTAGGAAAGGGCTTAGGCGGCGGGCCTGAGGAAGTTATGGCGGAAGAATGGACAGGAATGAAAAGACTGGTGGGAAGGCTGGAACAGGGTCTCGATAGGCCATGATCCGTGAAGTTGTGGCATCGGGGTATGGTGAGGGCCTTTTGTTATTTCTTCTCATTGTCTTCGTGATTGCTTAGTGTTAACTCCTTTCTGCTAATCATTGGCGAATTTGGCGATGTGTTGGGCAACTCTCGGTTTTGCCCGGTTTTACTCAGCTTATGTTCCAACCAGTCAGTTTGAGAATTAGCCAAAGACATTATACCCCTTTGTATTTTCAGGGTTGCGTGTATATATGAAATCAACGTTTCTTTCAATATAGATCTAAAATGATTTAAGCTTACTTATCCGCCGTGATCTGAAGCTCGTTCCACGCAGTCAGCATCGCTGCTACACTGATAATCAATATGTATAGCGGAACCCGGGCTATACACCCAAGTCAGCTCGATACATTCAAACCAAGAGTTGTCAGATGAGCATTGCTACATACCAGGTTCTCTATCACGTAGTTCCCCGTTCGTTGTCGCCGGTTTGCGAAGTAGAAATATGTGGAGAACATCCCGACAATTGCAATCATTAGGATATGGGAGCTAATAGTTATGTTACTGATGGAGATCCGTTAATAGGGGGGGGGAGGCTCAACTCACCCGATAGATACCCACACAGCAGTGGTATAAGCTGGAGCCTCAACAGACCGCACGATAAAACTGCCTGCGATGCCTCCCAGCCCATTGGACGCAGTCACCGCTGCGGCTATGGTCGCTCGTTTCCATTGGCCAACGATGTTATTTGCCTGGTACGCATTCAATGCTGCCCAGTTGGAAACATATGCGCCGGTGGCGAGGAATGTGCCGATATAACGGACAGTGACTTGCGTTGAAGATGGGAGGCCAAGCATGAGGAACCCGGCGATGAGCGATAATGCGTTGAAAATGATCAGTGGTCCACGAAGACGAAATTTATCGCCGAGTAGCGAAGTGAGAAGAACAGGTATGATAGCATAGTAGTATGGCTGTGATAGATCGAATTAGCGAAGCACTCAGTGGGAAAATACCGTAGTGGGAGAGGCCGCACCGGAGAAGATAACAGAATGGACTTGTTCGTGCTAAATCCCATGCCTGACTGGAGGATGATAGGTAAGAAGTAGGAGAGCGAGGTCGAGACGATATTAAGAAGGAAAAACAGGCAGCTGAACGCATAAAGTTTGAAGTCGAGAAAATTAACCGCAATCTTGGACCAAGAGATCTTATCAAGGATGGCATCGTGCCTGTCGAGTTCAATTCTCTTGGTGGCAAGTTTTATTTCGGCCTCATCGAGGAACCAGAAACTGTTGTGCGCATTATCTGGGAAATCGATCATCCACCAATATGTGATTATCCCCATGCCAAAGGCAATTAGGCCTTGGACCAGGAACATCCAGCGCCACCCTTGGAGCCCTGCTATGCCATCCAGTTGATTGAGAGCGTAGTTGAGGATGCTGCCTGTAGCTAGGATCGTTACCTCGCTGGATTGCATGAATGCATATCGAAGTTGCTGCTCTCGTCTCGTATACCACGTGCTGATAAGGTATGTGAGTCCCGGGTAGATGCCAGACATCGACATGCCCAAGAGGACGCGCAGCACAATCATTTGCTGCCAGGTCTTCACGAAAGCCGTACCTAGAGTGATCAGGCCAAAGCAAATGGTGGTCATTGAAAACCAGAGTCGTGGCCCAACGAACCGTATTGCGAGCGTAAACGGAAGTTGGAAAGCGATGCTGGAAACGGTGAAGATGAAAATAGACACGGAATATCGATTTCCATGGAGGGAGAGATCGTCTATCATGGTAGTGACGGCGGCAGATGAAATGATGCCGGAATCTATCAGATTCAAACTGCAAAGAATGCCAGCAATTGTGCATAACCGGAGATCGACTTTCCGGAGTAAACCACGTTCCAGGGCCTTCTCGTGCTTTGGGATTGAAAGGGTTTCTTCTTCTCCTTCGTCTTCTTCCATTGCTGCGGTTGCCTTAGCTGCAGATAAGGCGATGGACCGCGTGCCCGAAGAACGCTTCGCCGACTCTGTCGCCATACTCTAGGCGAATGGAGATAAACAGTAACAATGGCGGAAAATGAAGGTTTCTTCAATTAGGCGCAGGCCACTCAATGCACAATTCAGCCTTTTGAAGAAGGGTTTTCCAGTGGGTGAGCAGCTGATAGAGGGGCCAGGGCAGGGTGGCTGCAGATCATGCAAAAGCCGGCTAGGATTGGGGACACAGGCGGAAGAGGGATACGGAAGAACGAGAAGAAGTCATAGAAGCCCTGGCTATAGGCACAATCATTGGTGAATCAATATACACACGGCGTCTCGAGGCTCGATAAGTGCCCGGGTTCACGCATTGATTTTGTTCACAAATGATTCGGCTGTTGGAGTTCCCTCGGTTCAGAGCACAAGCAGCAAGGTGCTCCCAGGTCAACGGCATGCCGGGGATCTCATCCATCGCAGGCACCTGCTCGACATTCTTCACCATTCCGCTTAGGTGACATCTCGGTATCCGTTGTCCGAAAGCATCGTTCCGTGTCTGTTCAACGGTCAACGGCCAGCCGTTGAGTAACTAAGCACCATGCAGGAGAGAACAAGCACTTGGACGAAGCCAACAAAGAACGAAGTCAACCTGCCGACTAACTCTAGACAAGGGCTAGAATGCAGCATCCCAACATCTCCGCAAGTAGCTGCTGAGATCTCTCGGGGGTTCTCGACGGATATCCCTGCTCGTGGTGTCTCTTTATTACCCGCCACTCCACCGCATTTGGCACGTCACACATCTCCACGTTCGGGCGGATGGAGCCAACATGCGCTTTGGACCGCCGGTTGAGGAACAAGCCAGCAAGCCGCAGCAAAGTCGACCTCGCGTCTCCCTTTGACTGCAATTTCGACAACTTGAGCTCCAGTGCCCGCCGGCGTCCTTTCACGTCAGCTGACCGGGATAGCTCAGGTTAGATCCTGCGACGTTGGAGCTGCACTCGCGAAATCCAGAGTGCAATCCTACAATCTACTGCAATTTACGCCTTGATATCTTTTCAAATACCTTTTTTTGAGAATGGTTGAATACATCCCGGCGCCCGATCCGCGTTCACTGTTGCCTCCGCTCCTCGCTTGTCTCCCTGCTGGCTTTGCTTCACCGCGACCTCCTCCGCCGCTCATTCCTCTTCTCTCGCCCATCCTTCGACAGCGCATTCAGCTCCTCAGTTCCGTGTCCCCATCGTCTTCAGATTCTTGGCTCCGCTTACTCTGTTGGAATCCCGAACGAGGTCAAGAACTTGAGCGAATAGTTGGAGAAACCACATTTGAACCGCACCCCGTCTCCGGTGAGATAGAGATACCCGAGGACATCAAGGCACGGTACAGACGTATCGATTCTGAAACGTTACGGGGCATGTTTCCTATTGGCGGAATACAACCTCGCGGTCGTCTATGTTTGGTGTCCTGGCGACCGGGAGGGTGGCGATCCAGGATGGAGAGTAACGGAGGTTCTCCCGCTTCGGTCTCCGCAGGGTGAAGAAGCCCATACGTGGGCTAGCTCTATCACGGAAGCGAACGAGGTGCGGGAACCTATACTGCATGAAGCCTTGGCAGACGCAGAACACGAAGCCGGGCAGAGCAACGGAGTCGATGGTCCTGATGACAATGACGACGATGATTATTGGGCACAGTACGACGATAATCTCGGGAGGACGCCAGTGCGGAATGCCTCCCCCCACTTAGCGCATTCTCGCGTCGACGTGAACAAGCAGCCACAGGAAGCGTCGGACGCCTCGTACTACGGCCGCTACGACGAGGTTCAACCGGCAATGGATCATGATGATCCATCTGTGGACCGAAGCGGCATTGGAAGTTCGTCGCTGGACGGCGAGGCAGTTTCTCGGATCCTCAGACAGCAAATGGAACACATTGTCCGTAGAGATGGGCGGCCAAGAACGCCGCCACCAGACGTAGACGCTTGTGCCAGCTCGCTCAACCACCCGCGGCCGGAATCAGCATCCTCTCGAGGATCCGATGCCGTTCTGAGGCTGGAGCAGACGGCAGAGAACCAATCGTTATCGGAAATGGGGGTCCGCGACTACATCTCGTCCAGCATTAGAAACCTGCATCAACTGGCGAGAACCACTGGAATTTCTGGGGACGAGTTTGGCAATCTTGTCCGAAACGAATTGGATCTGCTGGAATGATCTCTTGGATACAATATCATCGATATTTAGCGCGCTCAATTGAATAACTACTTCCCGCCCTCTTGGCGTTCTCGATTAGTTATGTAAGCTTCCAACATAGCGCGGTCCGCGGGCACTAACCCAACCGGGCCTACGGTGCAGCCCCTTTTGGCCAGCAGCTCCAAACAGGCAAAACCAACGTCCAGCCGCGTTTTCTCTTCGCGCAATCTGTTCTTCCAGCTGCAGCCCTTTCACGCCCTCGTCCTTTTCTTCGGAGTAGTGCTTTTAATCTCTCTTTCATCTTTCTTGACGCTCATTACAATGCTTCTTTGTCAGTCCTCTTGAGAAGGTGGCTCTCCTCAAGGCCTCGGGACTCGAGTCAGGCACGATAAATTCGGCTTCTTTCTTGCTACCGCTTTTAATTTGAGCTCTCTCCTGATCATTTCTGTCCGCTACAATGTCCTCATCCCCATCGAGCCTCCGACAGCGAGGAGGCAAGAAAGCTGGTAATCTTGGTACACCGGAGCGAAGGTCTGTGTCGCCAGCACCGCCAGCGGTCAGCCAGCAACCGGCTACGAAACCAAGTTCAGAATGGGACTACAAACTCGCCTTGACAGTCATAACAATTCTGGCGTTTGTCACTCGATTTTACAAGATCAATTATCCGGATCAAGTTGTGTTTGATGAGGTGCATTTTGGAAAGGTGAGTACCCCCGTCCCCAATCTCCTGCATATCCAGCGATTGCCCAGCTGTGCAGATGCCATTTGGGGCCAATCGACTGATGTCTCTAATGCGGTATAGTTTGCATCATATTACCTCCAACGTACCTACTTCTTCGATGTCCATCCTCCCTTCGCCAAACTTCTCTTTGCCTTCGTCGGCTGGCTGGTTGGATATGACGGTCACTTTCTCTTTGACAATATCGGCGATTCGTACGTTGAAAACAAAGTACCCTATGTTGCGCTGCGCTCGTTGCCCGCCACACTCGGTTCCCTGACCGTTCCCCTGGTATTCCTGATTATGTGGGAATCGGGCTACTCGCTTCCAGCATGTGTGCTTTCAGCAGGGTTGGTCCTCTTCGATAACGCCCACATCGGCGAGGATAGATTAATTTTGCTGGATGCCACCTTGGTCATTTCAATGACCCTGAGTATATACTGTTATATTCGGTTCCACAAACTCCGACATGCTTCATTCAGCCGCAAGTGGTGGAAATGGCTACTCTTAACGGGAATCTCGCTTAGCTGCGTGATCTCAACCAAATATGTCGGTCTATTCTCCTTCGTCACCATTGGTTCTGCAGTCTTAATTGACTTGTGGGACCTTTTAAATGTCAATCGCCGCGGCGGGGCTCTCACAATGGTCCAGTTCGGTCAGCACTTTGTCTCCCGTGCGTTTGGCCTCATCGTCATCCCTTTTTTCTTTTATTTGTTCTGGTTTCAGGTCCATTTTGCGGTTCTGAACAAGTCCGGCCCTGGGGATAATTTTATGTCACCCGAATTCCAAGAAACCCTTTCAGACAACGCGATGGCTGCAAAATCCGTGGGTGTTCAATATTATGATTTCATCACTATCCGTCATAGACAGACCAAGACCTACCTTCACAGCCATCCGGAGAAATATCCACTTCGCTACGAGGACGGCCGTGTATCCAGTCAAGGCCAACAGGTCACTGGATATCCCTACAATGACACCAACAATCAGTGGCAGATCCTTCCGTCAGTCTCATTCCCTGAAAACGATCGGCTAAATCATTCTGTCAAAAATGGTGATACTATTCAGCTTCGCCATGTTGGTACAGACACGATCCTTCTTACGCACGATGTCGCTTCTCCATTCTATCCCACAAATCAGGAATTCACAACTGTCTCTCATGAGCTGGCAGACGGGAAACGCCACAACGATACTTTGTTCCAAATCAAAATCGAACATGGCAAAGCCAAGGAAGAGTTTCGAACCATGGCCAGCTTATTCAAACTCATCCATGTTCCCACAAAAGTGGCCATGTGGACGCACACAACTCCTTTACCCGAGTGGGGATTCAAGCAAGCTGAAATCAACGGGAACAAAAATGCGCAAGAGTCTTCCAATATATGGTATGCCGAAGATATCCCTTCTCTCGAGCCAGGAAATTCGCGCCTAATTAGAGAGCCAAAACAACCCAAGCATATGCCATTTTTGAAAAAATATCTTGAGCTCCAGGCGGCAATGTTTCACCACAACAATGCACTCACTGCCAGTCATCCATATGCGAGCGAACCTTTCCAGTGGCCCTTCCTCCTCCGTGGAGTCAGCTTCTGGACTAAGAATGACACTCGAGAACAGATTTACTTTTTGGGTAATCCTATCGGATGGTGGATTGCGAGCAGTCTTTTAGCTATCTTCGCAGGTGTCATCGGTGCTGATCAGCTTTCACTACGCCGTGGTGTAGATGCGCTTGAAGAAAGTAAGGTTTCCGAAGTAACTGTTTCATAATACTCTACTAACATTATGCTGTAGTTTGGGGCCCAGGCACACGCTCTCGTCTCTATAATAGCACTGGGTTTTTCTACCTTTGCTGGGCAGCGCACTACTTTCCGTTCTATCTCATGGGCCGACAACGATTCCTCCATCACTATCTTCCAGCGCATATTGCCTCCTGCCTTGTCACTGGAGCTCTAGTCGAATTCCTTTTCAACATTGACCCTATCAATGTAGAGAATGTCGTTGGTGCTGGAGGACAAGGTCGTCGACTCGGCATGCGCAGAGTGCAAATGAGTCGCCAGACCATGATGGCTACCTGGGCAGCCACTGTTGCGATTCTCAGCGCTGTTATTTGGGGATTTTGGTTCTTCGCGCCGCTCACTTATGGAACACCAGGTTTGGATGTTGACGGAGTCAAACTGCGCAAATGGCTTTCTTATGACTTGCATTTCGCGAAATAAGACGCTCTTATGATGTTACTGCGATGGTGAGCAAAGCCAAGTACGGAATGTTTGAATTGTATGGTCAAGGGAAGGCCGGGGAGAGATGAAATATTAAACTTGGGCTATAATCACCTTAATGCAGAAAGCTACTATAGAAATACGGTATAATTCCTGTAATTCTGCACTCCCACCCAGGCACGTTCTTCAACAGATCAGATTCACGGAATTTGGTCTCACCCGAATGCGACTTTACATATTTTGAGACGGTTAGTGCAGCTTGCAATGCTTTTATAGCCTCAACCTGTGATCGAGTCCGCTCTCTTCTGCCTCTTGTTAAACAAAATGTACATTATGAATGCTTTCTTGACATAATTGAGGACCGCAGATTATATATCAGGAATAGTAACTATATACGGGATCTAGTAAAAGCAAAAGTTCGGATTGATTTCGTCAACCTGCAGAATTCCCTTTCTCCCCCAAGCCGACACTCCTTCTCACAGGTCTAAAGGTTTGACAAAATGTGTATTGAAACCATTTTGCTCGGCCAAAATTAGGCCAATCCAGTGGAATAAAGCTATAAAACAACTTAGGTCTAGTAGTATGCAAAGTCGAAGCAATGCGGAACGGAATTCAACTATTGAGAGAAAAAAAAAGTTAGATAACTAGACTTCGTATGCAGCTCATCTGGCTACAATGCAGAACTATTGCGCGGCATCCCTTCCCTCTTCAACAGCAATGACGATGATAACACAGATATCATCTGGCTTTCCTCCCCGCCAGTGATCCCATGGTCTATATCTCTGCGATTCCTTCGCAAATGGCCCGTCACGTCGGAAATCCATGCTGGTAATTTTGGCTTCGCCGGCAATAGTGACCGCGAGGAGGGCTTGGAGGGTCTGATCTCGCGTGCGAGCGTCTACGGTGTGCGTAGCCGGTGGTTTTTCAGGGTGATGTCGAGGGTGGTGACGCGGATTGTGCGGAAGAGATCGAGATTTTGAGGACGAGAGGGCGGAAGATAACCCAGCGGGCTTCGTAAGGGTGTCCAGTCCATCGAATACTCCAATCCCCATGTCAGCGGTTCCATTCCAGGCCCCGGTGCCCATCATCCCGGGCTGTAACGAGTTTTAAGAATGTCTTGGTTGTTCAGGTTATCGTAGACTCCATCTGTTGCGAGTAGGAGGACATCGCCGTGCTGCAAACGGTAATTTGTCACGTTGGCATCTTGAGGGAGATCTTCGTACTGTCTGCCGCCGAATATAGCGGACTGCATCCTTATTAGAGGAGGCATTACTGAGAGCTGGTAGGGAGTGTTGAAATCGTGGGTTTGAGGAGTGGAGTAATGGTGGACGGCGGCCAGGCGGAACAGCACCGAGCCGGAGTCACCAAGGCTGCGTTAGAGATGAGTTAGATAAAAGTGACACCAGCCAAATGGTGGATGACATTGGTCCTTACTTTGCCAGCTGAACCGTTCCATCATCGCGGGCTACGCCAATGCAGGCGGTGCTGCTGCCCGCAAATATCGACCTGTCCACCAACGTTTGCTCATAGCCCATTTGCATCAGGGTCCTTGCTCGCAGCTCGTGTGCTGATGCGTCCCAGTTGGATGCACACTCCGCCATGTAGCTGCAAAACGCGTGCGAGAAATCCGCAGGATCAACCCCGGATTGTGTCCAGCCACCTACTCCATCTGCAACGCCAAACGCGAATGCATTGGGATGGCTATTTATTTTGCTGACGAAAAAAGCGTCCTCCCCGCTATCAGGCCGGCTTAACTTCCGCTCCAGATAGTTTCTCCCTCGCTGCAGTCCGATGGCATTGTGTGTAGCCGGGTCAAAACTGTAGATGTTTTTGTCCGGGCTGAATCTGCGTCCTTTGCCAGAAGAAGACACGGCGATGCGATAGGTCATACGCGGACGCGAGGAAACATGAGGACTTGAATGAAACGGCCGCCTGTTCTGGACTGGCCGTCTAGTCGACGGAATGGCGGATGCGGTGGGTGACCATTGCGCAAAAGCACGACCTGCGGGGTTCCACGATCGAGGCAGCGTTGCCAGACCTCGCAGGCAGGGAGTTCGATGGGCAAATGTCACTGCGGCCATCTGACAGAAGAATCACAGTCGGAGGGCGGTGTCCCATGCAATGCGAGACCCTCCAAGCAGTAGAAGTCCCGCGGGCGCATTTGAAACGGGGCGATAATGGTGCTGTGAGCAGGTCAGAGGCATGGGCACAGAGCCTTGCCTCTAGATCGCGATTATCCTCTCTTTCATGGGAATACCGACGGGATGCAGGTTGAAGGGAGGTGGAAGGAGTTGGGAGATTGCTGCGACGGTTGGGGCGGAAAAAAACAAAATGAAGTCCAGTTGTGACGCCAGGCTCACTATCTAGTTAGATCAACTACAGAGCTCCAGCCTCTGAGCAATGAAGCACAATCAAGCAACAAGACAAGATCCTTTGGTTGAGATAAGTTGCAGATTAAATTGAACAGAGCCATAATTCAAGATCAGGAACATCGTCGGCTTGTCTCATATCATATCTGCACCTTTTCGCCTGATAAGCTGCTCATCTTCACAGCATCCTGCAACCCAGCAAACTATTACAACATCTTCCTGCGGCACTTTGGATGAGACAGCGCACCAATTGCCTTTTCAGTCTACGCGCTATTATTCAGAATGAATCCGGCGCGGAGAGCGTATGTTGAGGATGCGACTGACGACACCGAGATGGGGGGCGTGGACCTGGCCAATATTCGTACGTCTGCAGCAGGAGACCTTGCGTTATGCAATTTTGTGCAATTATATGCTAACAGCTTTGTTTTAAAACAGCTATGGACCGAGACTACGAGCTCCCCGCGTCTGCTGCTGGAATAGCGCCTGAAAAGGCGTCTGCGATCCTCTCTCAGTTCTCGCGGAAAAGAAGAGCAGCCGCAATCCCTGTGCCGACGGATGATGGACGAGTGCGCGTGCGATTACGGGAGCTCGGGCATCCTATAACCCTTTTCGGTGAGGATACGACAGATCGACGTGATCGATTAAGAGGGTTGCTGCTTGAGCTCGAGGAGCAACAGGAGGCTGTTGCGGCTGCCGGAGAAGCAGGTGTGGATGTGCAAATGCAAGAGCCCGAAGCGCAAGAGGAGGGAGAGCAGGAGCATGAAGAGGAATTTTACACAGAGGGCACTCGAGACCTTCTCGAAGCTCGGAAAAGGATTACGCGCTTCTCTCTACCGCGCGCAAAGGCCAGAATTGAGCTCCAGAAAGAAGAATCGACAATACCACTACGGACGCATATAAAACACAGGAAAGCCATCAAGGAGAAATTACAAAGCTTTGATCTGTTTGGCTCTCAGCTGGCGGGAGAACGCCCGGCTAGCATTACCCGGTTCGCGCCCAATGGGGAATCTCTGGCCGTTGGAAACTGGGGTGGAGGCATCAAGCTTCTTACAGTACCAAATCTAGAAGAGAAGATCACGCTTCGCGGACATACAGACCGAGTTGGCGGCATCTCATGGCTCCCAGGCGCCACTCTGGCTTCCTCGAACATATCCCAAGACTCTGTAAACCTTGCATCGGGGGGAGGTGAGGGCAATGTGCACCTGTGGTCTCTTAACCAAGATACCCCCCTTTCTACGTTATCCGGACATTCCGGGCGTGTGTGCCGCGTCGAGTTCCATCCCTCTGGGGAATACCTGGCATCCGCTTCCTTCGATACCACCTGGAGACTCTGGGACGTGCGGACTAGCACTGAGTTGCTATTACAAGAAGGCCATTCTCGCGAGGTCTTTTCGCTGGCATTTAACCCCGATGGATCTCTCCTTGCCAGCGGTGGGCTGGATAGCATTGGCCGCATCTGGGATTTACGGACAGGCCGCACAGTAATGATCCTGGAAGGGCATATCCGCGAGATATATACTTTGGACTGGGGAATCGACTCATACCGGGTGCTTTCTGGTTCCGGGGATGGCTGGGTTAAATGCTGGGATATCCGGCAAGTCCGCGGGACAGGCGGCGTTGGTGCCCACAAGGGTGTGGTGTCCGATCTGAGATGGTATAAAGGCACCGAAGCCACATCGTCTTACTTGCCCACGCTTTCTCAGGGAGAGTTGAACGGAGATGTGACAATGTCGACGAATCCCGACCAGGTATCACGGCACCCGGCTCAACCAAAGAAGGCCGGGACATTCTTTGTGAGCGGTGGCTTCGATAAAAATGTCAACGTCTTTAGCGCCGATGACTGGTCATTGGTGAAATCGCTAAGTGGCCACTCTGGGAACGTGCTCAGCGTTGACGTGAGCGATGATGCAAAATGGATCGCGAGTTGTGGGCATGATCGCACAGTTAAGCTATGGGGAATTGAAGGCTGAAGTTGAATTGCCGTTAAAAGTGCGCCATTAAAGATTGAGATATTACTCAACGGCCAACCCGCGGTCTAATCTTCTTCCCGCAGACAGGATCTGGTTACTTCACACAACTTGTCCTTATGGAACAAGATGGTAGGGAAGATTCAAGATTCCCCATATATTGCTTGCAGAACAAGTTTTAGCATTTCCATGAAGCTGCTTGCTGAGTATGTGACTCTTTTCCTGCCTTCCCTGTTACATATACATGTTGTTAATAAGTTGTAGAAGTCCCTGATTATTCAAACAGTCCAGCAAGAAACCAAAATCTTGCCAGTATGAGGCAATTAACTTCTTCCTGCAGCACCGTTCAGATGAATTTCTTTTGTGAGACCGTAGTGGGAACTTTAGTGCAATAGATGTAGAGCAACAGGGAATCGGCACAAGGGAAGGACGAGGTCAACGAGCAGTCTATGTGTCCATAGGATATGGATATGCCGTTGAATTGGGTCAAACAGCGAAAAGTGACGTCGGCTGACAAGGCCACCACAGGGTCCAACTTCATAACCATAGACCGCCTGCACTTTTATCTCTGGAGAGATAGACCTCCAAAAAGCCATTGAATACACCCACAAAACCAAAAAGGTGTGTATTTCTTCCCTTCACCTGGCTGCAACCCATCCGTCAGTGATTCTGTCACACTGTTGGCAGCAAAGATAAATTTTGATGCCTTCCCAAACAACAACCCAGTCTTGCGACTGGTGAGGTATGCGGCCCTTTGTATTTAACAATCTAAATGCGGGCATGTGCCAAATGTGGTTTAAAGGAGGCGGATAATGGTTTCGTTCATCCGCACCATATACCTTGGTGACCTTTTCATTCTTGGTATAACCCGTCCCAATCTTTTTGCATGTTTTGCATAAAGGGTTTTGCGAAAAGCGCGTTTGATTATATCCTCCTCCTTTCTCCGCGGCAAAGAACTCGACAATGCGGTCCAAGCCCAATGGTAAGCAGCATGCTCGCCAGGGCTTCACCATTTGAATTGAAAAGATAGTCAGGAGAGACAGCTTCAAGTAGGTAGGCGCTTAGAAGGACGAAAGACATGATGGGTAGAGAGAAGGACGTCTGGGTCCTCAAATGGCGGAGAAAGCATGATACCCCATTGGGACGCGTATTCGTAGTCCATGCGATAGGCTCGAGATCGTTGACCGCGCCGGTCACGTTGGCAATAGAGGCGATCCAGCTCCCTCGACTTTGATTCGGAGTATGTTTCAAGAAAGTATAAAACATAGAACCTGTATATCTTGCAATGCGGGCAGAAAAAAGATCGATTAGATGAAAAGCTTCTTCCGTTGGAGATATGATATAGAGAGGTGACACTACCACTCACATGAGAGGTGTAAGTTTGAACTGGAGGAACGCAACGCCCCGCTCATAGCAGGCCTGGCGGTCTCGTTTCGACGCAAAGGAGGCCTTGACCTCCGGGTTATTCTGCATATACTTATCCAGGACTCGATCGGCTAGATAATACGACAGTTTTGAACAGGTCTCTTGGCGCCGTCGTAGGCTGGCAAGGTACTTGAAGGAGTAGGCGTCATTCGAGCCATTTGGAGGCGGAAAAAGATCGGATAATAGAATCACGTCGTCTTGGGGGGCCCGACTGTGGGACGCCGTGCTGGTATTTGGCGATGGAAGGCTTCCATGGCGCCTAATTCTGAGGTAATCCCGTGCGATGGCATGTTCGTTAACATCAATCAAGTCGCGAAAGGCGCGGGAGACAAGCCGTAGGCATTGGATATCCTGCAGACGACACTGACAGAAAATGGAGACCTGGAGTTCCACAGGGAGTTTATCCCAGTGCGAAGATGTGTGATATCTGGAGTCGGGCACACGGTTCCTAGATGGTCGGCAACCACCGCAACGAGTTAGAGCCCGATTTTACAGGCAAGCGAATGACTATACTTTGCTTACCGGATGTCAACGTTTGCATGGCTGGATCTTGCGTATCCCGTTGCTTTCTCAATGGCGGCAAGAAACTGTTTGGATTTGGTTTCGAAAAACGCCGACATGGAGGCTGGAGAAGCCTTGGTCAAGTCAACGGAAGCAAGCGATGCGATCATTGCTTGGCGGGAGCCCCAGGTGACCGTCTTCGCATGCCTGAGGACCGATCTGTGAGAGCATCGGGAATGCGTGCACGTAGAGAGGAAGCGGACGGGACATGCCTCAGAGCAGACGGTCCGGATCTTGGGAGGGCATTGTTGGCGATGGAGGTGGGGATTGGGGCAGTGCCGGCTTCACAGCACTTCGAGGGCTTGGAACACCCTTGGTCGCAGCATGAAACTGCAGGAAAAAGGGAGATGGGTTGCGATGCGAGGTGCAGGGAGCCGTGAAGAAGGCCGCGATTGATCCTAATGCCTGATAGGAGTTGGGCATCCAACCCTGCTTCAACCCGGACCTGGCAATATTGACATCTCATGGCCCGTTCCACACAAAGGCAAACCCTTCGATCCGCTCTTCCTGCTCACCGGCGTCCAGCCAAATGCAACACTTCTCAACCCGAAACCTCCTCGACTGGTAGCTTTGCAACCTCCGCGCATGGACTGCCTCTTCAACTCTGAGTGCCGCGCCCAAGACCGGCGTGTCGTCGTCTTCGCTGGTCTTCCGGACGAGCCCCAGATCTCGACCGCTCCCTGTGGGCTTGAACCCAGGCAGTCGCGCGGGGCGTAGATCAACAGTATCGGTGCTTGTGAGGCCAAGGATTACTGCAAGCGTCTCCCGGTCTCTGAGATCGTAGAGAAAATACCATCCGGTTGCGGGCTCATGGGCTTCCGAACCAACGGAAAACCATTGCATAGGAGCAGAACAAACAGGGCTGCTGAATGACTGCTCATCAAAATCCATATTGCTTTCTCTCATGCAGGAGAGTAAGAGTTTGTTAGTCGTAGGCAAAAGGAGACTCTCTCTGGGATGTAACTGTTGCACGGCATATATTCTCCGGGACTATCACTTGACTGTTTCCCTATGTCCATTTCCGAGCTACATAACTACATGAGGCCACTGACCCCATGAAAGGAGATCAGCTTCGATTCAACTGACAGCCATCACTAAACCCGGTAGCCAAGATCGCGGGCTTTCGGCATGCTACCAGCAACTATTATTCATGGTTTCTTCCGTCACTGGTTATATTTATCATGTACCACATTCTCTTTAACCCTGCCTGACTCAAAATCATGGATATTTTTCAACGTGGTCTTTGTAATCGTATCGACGGCGTTTTTGGTCAAAAAGGCCTGGTGACCCGTAACAATCACGTTCGGCAGGGCCACCAACTGCTTGAAAACATCGGCTGTGTCGACGTTCTCGTTCGGGCCATGGAAAAAATAATGCTCTTCTCCCTCAATAACATCAAGGGCACAACCCCGGATGATCCCTTTCTCCAAGGCATCTAAAAGCTCTGCTGTGTTGATCAGACCGCCGCGGCTTGTGTTCACAACCACCGCACTCTCTTTCATTAGAGCCAGTGTTCCAGCGTTGATAAGGTGCCGAGTTGCAGTGGTCAATGGACAGTGCAGGCAAACAATGTCGGATTCCCTTAGGAGCTCTCCGAGGTCAACATAAGAGACACCACCTTGCTGGAGAATTGCATTGGGGTAGAGATCATGAGCGAGAACTTTGCACCCGAACCCATGCTTGAAAACTTGCGCGACTCCGGCACCAATTCGTCCAGTCCCCACGACACCGACGGTTTTGCCGTGAATTCCATGACCTACAAAACCAGTCAAGTCGAAGTTCCCTGCCCTGACTCGCTGCCAGGCGTGCGGTATTCGCCTGTCGAGGGAGATCACCATTCCAATTGTGTATTCGGCGATGGCTTCGGGGGAATAGGCAGGAACGCGCATAACGGTAATCCCGTTTGCTGTGGCTGCTTTGACGTCAACCCGGTCATAGCCCGAGCAGCGCAATGCTACTAGCTGCGTTCCATTCTCGGCTAGGGCCCTCATAACGGTGGAATCCAGCTGGTCGTTGACAAAGGCTGAGACTGCGCGAAAGCCAGAAGCAAGAGAAACGTTTGCCTCTGAGAGGCTCTCCTTGAAGTAAACGAGCTCATGCTGGTATTCTTTGTTTTGCTCCAGTAAGCTACTTTCCTCGTGGGGCTGGACGCTGAACAATGCAATCTTCATCCTGGTAAGCAAGCTGTTGGCGGTTATTCTGTATAAATGTGATGAAAACAAGGATACCCGTGATTCGCATCGTCCCTGCGTTGCATCCTCAATGTTCTTGATGCGATGCACGGGCCCGAATCCGCACCAGGGCTGTCAATGGATATAAGTTATAACTGCTTTGCTTCAGCCGGCAGTCCAACTTGACTGATGGAGGGTTGATTATGTAACTAATATCATGTATTAGTAATAGTACCACGTGAGCTTGATTTATAATCTTATCAGATCCTGAATCGCGCATCTGATAAGACATTTATATCTTCGGTCATCGCATTCAGTGTTGGCGATTCTCTATCCAGCATCCGTGAATCAGAATGCATCGCCCGCTCACAGCAACAGGCCGCGTTTTGCGCCTCAGCCTCCGATCCTCATCGCCCAGATCGCACAGCACAGCGACGCTCGATTCACGAACAAGCCTCTGCGTTTTCTGCCAGCACCGGCAATCGGCGCACTCCAGGCTTCCGCCAGCTTCCGCTCAAGGAATTGCTGCGATTCGGACCGTGGCAACATCGTCACCCAAATCCCGCCCCTCCGCAGCCCCATCGGCAGAAGACTCGGCCCCTTTGACAGAACTCACGCCCGACATCTCCAACCATTACACTATCTTTCCAAAGACCTTGCCGCAGGGCCCGCCTCCCGCGAGCCCCTTTGACATTCCCGCCTCAGACCTCCGCCGTGAATTCTTAGCCTTGCAAGGGCACATCCACCCCGATAAATACCCGTCGGGGGCAGCAAAGCAACGCGCCGAAGCCCTCTCCGCACGAATAAATGATGCGTACCGCACGCTGCTTGATCCTTTAAACCGAGCGCAGTATCTACTTGCGTTCCAGCACGGGATAGACGTGACGTCGGAGGATGGAGCGAAAAAATATCCCCAAGACACCGAAACGCTGATGCAAGTCCTGGAGGCCCAGGAAGCGATTGAAGAAGCGGAGGGTGAAGCGACGATTTTGGAGTTGAAAAGCGAAAACGAGCGACGAGTCAACGAAACGATACAAGTACTGGGAGAGGCTATTGATCAGGGAGATGTTGATCGGGCCGTAAGGGAATGCGTGCGCCTGCGTTTCTGGTATAGCATTCGTGATGTCTTGAGGGAGTGGGAGCCGGGTATGAAGAGCGTGAGATTGGTGCATTAAAGCTGAGCAATGGGCGTTGAAAGCTGCATGGTGCAATTGCTATCGGGCGTCAAGGCTAGAAAGGGGAATTGGGAACGCTGATTCATAACGCCTGATCCAAGGTCTCACCAGGAGTATCGATGTCCCAGTATTCTGCGTGGTCCAATCTGTTTTCACTTATTCCCCAGCAAGGACCCAAAGCCATTTCGCTTTCGATTGCCTTAGGGGGGCAATTATTTAGTTGTATAGGCGCCTCATGCCTGGGCTGGTATGGCTGTGAAGCAGGAGATGTACATAGATGATGACTACAGATATAATTACGTGCCTGTCTTCTGCAGCTGGGCATCAAACGCCGCCGCTGCCCACGCTGAAACTTCTTTCGAACACCTCAGGGCAACGAGTCGAGCAAGTTCACCGTTCTACAGGCTGCCTTGGAACGCGATATCGGGCCCAGCATGATCCCTTAATCGAACTGCTGTATGAGGCTGTATTCCGAGTAGCTCTCGTCGTTCGAGCCAGCATGCCGTTGCGAGACAGAGCACGCAGGTACAACACCACTCAAGAGATGTATCCAGCGAGAGCCAGCAGCTGAGCAGATGTTGCACTCTCCTATTGCCCCAGATCGCGTGCAGGTGGTTCAGCCGTGGTTCGATCCGAGTCCTTCCATCGCGACAAAGTGGTAACGACGCTGTCATCGGGCCTGAAGAGCGTCGAATGAATCGAGATGGCAGACAGTGGCGGGCTGGCATTTAAAAAAAGGAGATTGGCAGATCCGACCACTTGCTCAAGGACGGATGGAAATCTCAAGCAGTTTGTTACATCGATGGCTCGATATCGACGTGCGCCATTTCCCAACGCCAACGCCAGTGCCCGTCCCGCGAGCCAAAAAAAGCCCTCTCGACGCTGCAGCGACCGGGTGCCGCGGGCGTTGGGTATCGAACATGGGCCAAAATGCGCGAGTAACCGGCGCTGTGATTCGACGCTGACGGGGATCATCTGGACGTCCCATCTGCAGAGAGCCCTTCTTCCCTGGACGCTGCATGCATCTGGCCCGCGGGAGCAAATCGCAGGTCGACTCGGGAACGGGTTCCATCGAAAATTCCAAAGCACGGCGAGGCCTCGTTTGGCCCGCTGGCTGCCCATTGACCGCCCCAAGACTCTCTGCGTGGATCCAACCGCTAATGGGAATGCAGCCGTGATCGCGTCGGCAGGCGACAGCTGGCCGCTTGGATTATTGACACGACAGCGCATCTACTGGCTGCCCTGCTCCATGCAGCCATGGCTCTCTGGCCACCGCGCAGCCTGCGCTAGAGACGAGTGTGGATAAGATGTGACATTTGATACCTGCCTCGCTCTCTCGCTGGGAGGAGGTACTTATATCCACGCATGGCTTTGTCTCGCACCGAAGCCCCATGACAACTTCCCACGTAGCAGATAACGGCGGCGTTTGAAGGGTGGCTTTGATCCGCTGCAGTATATATTGCCTTGCGAATACCGCAGTCGACGCTGTGCAAGCGAAACACCCCCGAGTTTCTTTTACTGCTGTGGAAGCCAGCAGTCTCTTTTCTCCTATTTCTCTACGCCTAGAGCTCTACAGTTCAAGCCATCCTGCTGTGGGAGTATCACCCACTGGAGCGCTGAGGGAAATGGCACGGCCAGCCCCAGATTTCAATAGGTACGTTCTCTACGCGCAAAGACGGGTGCAATTACTCTTGAGGATAGTCCATGAATAACTTTCCGTCCTGTACTCAGCCCAATCTTCCCAAATCCTGCCCTGAAGTATATATTTTCAGTTAACTATATATACACATTTCAGCGAAAGATCATGGCGAGTGAGGTTTCGTGGGAGAAAGTTCTGATTCACTGACCGGCAATTTCTCTTGGGAAACAACAGTATCATCCACTCGCCCCCGTTTACCTTCCTCGTCGGCCCGGACCATATCAAACTCACCATCCAGTCGGGCCTCGCTCGACATGTCTCCCAACCGCTGGATGAGTTGATGAACAATGGCCACACTCGCGAGTCAAGACATCACATCGCGGTCCTGGAGGAAGAAGATGTTGAGACCTTTGTCGGGTTCTGTGAATTTGCCTACACCGGCGACTACACGGTTCCACGTCGACGAACGGGCGCAGAGACGAAACCACACGGCGTAGCGTTTGCCGACCCGCCAATGGTCGGCGCCATTCCGCCGCCTGCCCCATCTCCCCCGCAAACACCAGGTTTCGGCGATGAAGGGGCGGCGGACGAATCGAGGTTTGAGGACGGCGGGGACGTTGCCGTGCAAGATGATGCGACTGAGGCATTGCCGGACGCTGGGAAAAAGGGGAAGAAAGCTAAGAACAAGAAGAAGAAGGGCGGAAAGTCATTCGACGAAGCATTGACTCCGCCCAGCACTCCGCCGCCGATGGCTGAAGGTGAAAAGGAAGAACCAAAAGAAGAACCGCCCACAGAGGAGGGCCAGGGTGAGGCTGCGGGTGCTGAATGGTTCGACCAGGAGGCTCCAAAGAAGAGCGAAGAGACCTCGAGGCCGAAGCCACTCCGCCCAGAACCTCAGAATCCCTTTTTCTTTTCCCGTCGCTCCAGCGTAACTCTCTGGGATGAATTCACCGCGCTTCAATATGCCCAGCAGCAGCACAAATCCGCCATGGGCTTACCGTCTCCTATCCTCCGCAGTGTGTCATCGTACGCCAGCGATTCCTCTAGCCAGGATCCATACGTCCTCTTCCACGCGAAGCTCTACCGTTTTGCATCTCGCTACCTCATCCCAACCCTAGCGCAGCTATGCCTGATCAAATTGCACCATGACCTGGTCAACTATCCGCTTACGGCCCCTCTGGACAACACAAGGCCCACCAACATCCCAATGATCCTCGAACTCCTCCACTTCGCCTACACCAATACCAAACGCGACGATCCGGTATTCGCTCTAACCACCGCATCTGCCGCCCGCGAGAACCAACTTCGCAAGCTCGTCACGCACTTTGCCGCGTGTAAAGTCAGGGACCTGGCCGGCTACCAACCCTTGGCCTACTCGCCAACTTCTTACGGCACACCCGAGATGGGTCTCGCTGGCAAGGATGCAGGCTTGTCAAGCCTTACGATCCCTCTCAACCTTGGTTTCCGCGACCTTCTCGACGGTATCGGTGAAATGGCATCTGACCTTGTGTATCGCATGATGTGATCCGTTACATTTACTCTAGCATTGTTGCCCTCTTTTTTTTTTTTTCTCTCTTTGTTTTCAAAAACATCCAAAGCCATATTTTCGTTAGCGGGGAATATTTTTTTTTTTTGAGTATGGGCCAGCCTGGAGTTCACGGTACGATATTCTAGCGAGGCAGGATGGCTTAAATCGCACATTCCGGCCTATCCTGTCGTTTTTATTTTTCGTCAAAGCTGCCTGTGTTCCATATTTTTATCATGTGCGTGTCATTCTTTGCATCTGGCCTTGGGCGCTTTGGGCGTGTTTCACCCTTCATACCTTTTAAATATTCTTTCTGATCCACTCGCCTTTTGTTCCCATTTCTCTTAGTTCTTTAATATTTTCATAGCCTTGCATATGCGTTAGTTAATAATGACAAAATTGTTTTCAATCTGCTTCTATGATCATCACCCAGGCTCCTATAATTGTGGATATTCACTGGATATCTTGCAACTGTTGTTGATTCAAGCACCAATAGTGTTCTATAGGCTGAAAGCCTTTTGAGCAAACTAATTTAGCCATTCAGGAAACACCCAAACTCAAGATTCGGAAAAGAAAATGCCTATAAGTATGTATGTGTGAAGAAGAATGCATGAGTTAAGGAATGTTCATGGGCTATGGGAACAAACTAAATAGAGGGACATGAAGAATTGTGGAAGTCAATGAATAGCTAAGCTACATGACGGAAAAAAGGGGGGTACATATATCCAAAAGGAATGACCTAAGTCGAAAAGGCGGAAGACAAGGGGCATAAATCCATGGAAGCGTATAGGTCTTGGATTGAAACAGAACAATAAAAAAAGGAATATGGCAATCAACCTGGATTACGTTCATAATTACATCGGTTGCCATTCAATGCTTTGAGAGGTGGCGGTAACAACGGTGGCGATGGAGATTAGGTGACGCGGTATGATCTAGGAAACGAGGAATAAGCGAAGGTACAGAAGAATACCTCATGGCACCGTAGTCACACGGACTCATTGTCCGAGCGGTCATTGAGCAAAGCTGATATCAAAATCTAGGGTAAGTTGCAACATAAATCCGATATCTGAGATAACAGGGTAGCTAAAACCCAAACGGATTCGACGGCGCTATAGTAATGATAAGCATACTGCAGTTTGACACAGATGCACTGGACGTGACTTACTTGCTTGTGCGAGATTCGCTTTAAGACCTGTGGGCTGGGGAGTAAGCTTTTTGATATCTTTATGCACCCCGAAACGAACAGGTGGGGCGGGGCCTGTTTTCTGTGGCTGCAGTGGTGCCGCGGGCAGTTCAGGAATTGGAGGGGCCGGCGGTGGCGTAAAAGTGGAAGTACCTCCAAAGCCGTTAATGCCAGTCTGCTGCGGTTGTAGAGGCGGGGGAAGGAGAGAGTTGATAGATCCCGTTGGCATGGGTTGTGCTGGCGGTTGGGAAAATGGAGGATATCCAGTTTGCTGAGGAGCCAAAGCCTGAAATCCTGTTCGCTGCGGTCCGTTCGAAAAGGGAGTCTGTTGTTGTAGCATAAACCCGGTTGGCTGAGGCGCTAACTGATTTCCGTACTGGCCGATGCCAAATCCCGGCGGAGCGAACCCGGTTGGTTGGGGCTGCAATTGTGACTGTTGGAGCCGCTGCTGGTTAAGCTCTGCTAAACTGTGACCTGGTGGCGCAAGGTGAGGAGCAGTTTGTGGGAACTCAGTAAGCTGTGGCTGGAGAGGAGCTGGTCCAAGCGTGCCTGCATTATTAGGGGGCAAAAAATGAGGGTTGTTGCGGGCGGCAGTGGCCAGAGATGATCCTTTGGCCTCATATCTTGGAAGGAGGTTGTGGGAGATTGTCCTTTGCGGACATTGGGCTGGATGCGACTCTTTGTGAAATGAGAAGCTGTGGTTGGTGAGTATTGCGCGGAACCCCGGTTATATCAAAACCCTTGAGCAAGTTTTGGCATATCCCAATTTGTTACTAGAAAG